CCTTCTTTTTTTTTTTTTTAATTTTAATTAAATCTTTATTGTTCAGATTATTACATTAGTTACTCTTTTTTCCCACCATAACTCCCCTTCACCCAGTTCCCACCCCACCCTCCGCCCTCACTCCCCACCCACTGTCCTCATCCATAGGTGCACGATTTTTGTCCAGTCTCTTCCCTCACCCCCATACCCCTTCTCCCCCCGCCCCCAAGAATAGTTAGTCCATTCCCTTTCTATGTCCCTGATTCTATTACAATCACCAGTTCATACTGTTCATCAGATTATTTATTCACTTGATTTTTAGATTCACTTGTTGATAGATGTGTATTTGTTGTTCATAATTTGTATCTTTTTCTTCTTCTTCCTCTTCTTAAAGGATACCTTTCAGCATTTCATATAATACTGGTTTGGTGGTGATGAACTCCTTTAGCTTTTTCTTATCTGTGAAGCTCTTTATCTGGCCTTCACTTCTGAATGATAGCTTTGCTGGATAAAGTAGTCTTGGTTGTAGGTTCTTGGTATTCAGCACTTTGAATATTTCTTGCCACTCCCTTCTGGCCTGCAAAGTTTCTGTTGAGAAATCAACTGACAGTCGTATGGGTATTCCCTTGTAGGTAACTGATTTTCTCTCTCTTGCTGCTTTTAGGATTCTCTCTTTGTCTTTTGCTCTTGGCATTTTAATTATGATGTGTCTTGGTGTGGTCCTCTTTGGATTCCTTTTGTTTGGGGTTCTCTGCGCTTCCTGGACTTGGAAGTCTATTTCTTTCACCAGGTAGGGGAAGTTTTCTGTCATTATTTCTTCAAATAGGTTTTCAATATCTTGCTCTCTCTCATCTTCTGGCACCCCTATAATTCGGATGTTGGTACGCTTGAAGCTGTCCCAGAGGCTCCTTACACTATCTTGGTATTTTTGGATTCTTTTTTCATTTTGCTTTTCTGGTTGGGTGTTTTTTGCTTCTTCGTATTTCAAATCTTTGACTTGATTCTTGCGACCCTCTGGTCTGCTGTTGGGAGTCTGCATAATATTCTTTATTTTAGTCAGTGTATGCTTAATTTCTAGTTGGTTCTTTATCACAACATCGAGGGTCTCATTAGATTTCTTGAGGATCTCACTACATTTATCGGCGGTCTCACCAGTCTTCTTGAAGATCTCACTACATTTATCGGCGGTCTCACCAGTCTTTTTGAGGGCCTTATTAAATTTATCGGCGGCTTCTAGACAGTTCTTTAAAGACCTTAAAAGTGTGGTTTTGAACTCTATATCCAACAGTTTGCTTTCCTCCAATTCTGTCGTTTGTGTCCTGTTTCTATGTCTCGGCATTTTTTATGCTTCGCTGTGTAGATAGAGTGCCTTTCTGTGCTAAGTGTCCCAATTACCTGAGGTAGACACTCTTGGTACACCCCCTTGTGGGCTTTGTGCACAGTCTTGTTGTCGTTAAGCCTTGATTGTTGTAGTTATCACTGTGAGGAATTGACCTCCAGGCCAATTGGCTGTGAGAATCAGCTGTGTCTGCAGTGGGAGAACTTCTGTGCTGGAGACACCCCTCTGGGGCTAGACTTGCTTCGATGGGGCTTCGGTCCTCACTGAGTCTGCCCCCTGAGTGTGTCTTTTATGGTTCCACGGAGCTGCAAACTGGATGGTCCCACTCTGACCTCTGGGCTTCCTGGCTCCTGGATCTCTAGGGAGGTGCTAATCTAGCCTTTGCCTGAGGCTATCCAGCAAAAGCCTCCCTGCAGGGCTTGGGCGGGGCGGGTCCCACGGGATCAACACGGCGGGGTTAGCAATTATGGCTGCTCTCAGTCCTGCCCTCAGAGGCTCTGCTTCTTAGTGTCCCAGTAATCGCTGCAAGCCCCTCGTAGAGAAAGCTGCCCTAGGGTCTGACCGATGCCAGACAGTCCCGCTTCTCCCGTTTGAGTCTGGGTCCCTAAAGACTCGCCCGGAACTGGAGCTCAGAGCCTGAGACTCCCTCCCGATTGAAAACGACAACCGCGCCCTCAGCCGCCAGCCCGCTCCGCATGCACTCCGAACCTTAGTATTTCACTTCAGCACTGCGCCTCCTCTGAGTCACGGTATGCTTTTCTCTTTCCTCCTAGTTGTAGAACTTCCACTCAGCCAGCTTTCCTGTGGTTCTGGATGATGTCCGTTCTGTCTTTTAGTTGTATTTTTGAAGTGGTTGTTCGAGGCAGCAAACTCCGGTGTTTACCCCTGGCGTTGTGAAAGCAGTGAATCCCAACCTTCTTAGAGGCCTCATTTAAAGCTCTACCCCTCCCAAAATGACTCTTATTTTTAAAGAGCATTGCCTTTTGTTTTAGCCTCTTTCTGTGAAAGTTTTATGACCCTCCCCACCCTCACCCCAGGAACTCAACAGGGGCCACTCTTTGTAGTGGAGGGTGAGGGTCCAGGGTTGGGTCCAGGCCTCAGCTCCCTCCTCTGACTTCCTACCAGAACACCAGGCTGGCTTCGAAGGGCTTCAGGCAGAGGAGTGTGGCATCCTGAACGGCTGTGAGAACGGCCGCTGTGTGCGTGTGCGGGAGGGCTACACCTGTGACTGCTTCGAGGGCTTCCAGCTGGACATGGCCCACATGGCCTGTGTGGGTAAGTTTGGCCTCAGTGTGGCAATGCCCGGGAAGCATTGATGTCTCCCTGTGGGAAAGTCAGACTGGCCCCTGCTCACCTTAGGGTTGGATGCACAACTAAACTCGGGACCATAATCCACTGTGGCCCCCTAGTGAGGCTGTCCAGCGCCAGGTCGGGTGGTGAGAAAGCTCCAAAGGAAGGTTGCATGCTGTGTTTAGAAAGCTTTCCATGGAGGTGCCCACACAGAAAAAAGGCAGGGACAAGAGTATGGCCACTCTCCTGGGCCCAGTATGGGCTCACCACCACCTGCTTTGTGTCCTTGAGTTGTTTAGTTGGGGCAGTGACTTCAGCCTCTGGCTGCCGTACCTAAGATTGCCCTGCAGGGTGGGGGCCGGGATTGGTGATCAGAGGGCCAGAGGCAACAGGCCAGAGACCCTCGGGCTCCTGCCATCTCTCTCCTGCCTTCCTTCTCCTTAGATGTGAATGAGTGTGATGACTTGAACGGGCCTGCTGCACTCTGTGCCCATGGTCACTGCGAGAACACGGAGGGCTCCTACCGCTGCCACTGCTCCCCCGGTTATGTGGCCGAGGCAGGGCCCCCCCACTGCACGGCCCAAGGAGTAGCAGTGAGGGGTCAGCGTCGGCAGCTACCTGGAAATGGGCCTGAGGCAGGGGCCTTGAGGACGCTTTCCTAGCTGGGAAGATACCATGAAGTCATCGGGCAGGAGGCCCTGCAGCCCCACTCCCAGCCAGCCTTGCCTGCTTTTCATCTCTCCCAGTTTAGGCTCGGGCTGTGAGCTTGTCACTGACTCCATGCCACCATGCCCTTGCTTGGCTCAAACACCACCAAATGCTTTAATGCTTCAGCCACTGGCCACAAGGCCCAGTCCGCCATCTGTCCTGGCCTGACTATGAGACGCTTACCAAAGGATGGCCCTCATCCTCCCCCGCAAGCTGTGCAAACGTGCAAGGTCCTTTGGCCTTACACCGCACCTTTTCCAGCCACGATCCACCTATCATCCTGATGACTGCAAAACTGGGTCCGAGGCTACACCTGTCTTAGGATGGGCCTTCAGAATCTGTGGAGCACAAATGGATTGGAGGAAGTTTGGGGAGTGACTCCAACGCCTCCTACCAAGAACCATCACTGCCACTTAGCCAGTCTGGTCTGGACCAGATTTTGCCACATCATCTTATAGTCACTTCTGTGGCCCCTGGGAGGAGCAGAAGATCCCCTCATCTCAGAAAAGCAAGACTGATACCAGCTTGCTGAGTGTAAGAGACACAAATGAAGGGGAGCAAGAAGACTGAGAAAGCAAGAGGGAAATATTAAAAATATAGGGAATTGAGAAAAAGAAAAGGGGTGGGGAGCCAGGGCTTCACACAAATCTAAAGAAAATATTCAGTTGCTTTGAGTAAATATTCAAAATGTACCCAGCGGTAGCTCCTTTACACAAGACAGGGTGCCCGTCTCGGAAGACCTGCTCCTTACAGGAAACACCTTTCTCCTGGGCTCTCCTTTTGTGGGCACCAGTTTGAGTGTTAAAAATAAAGAGGTCTATTTTCTAGCTTGTGGGATACACGTAGTCCTGTTTGGGGGGAAGCCAGATTTCCTGTTGTTTCTCCTCTCTTCTCAGAAGCCTCTGCCCTCTCAACCTTCATAAAATGGCTGGCTGGCATCCCTCTGAGTTCACAAGGAAAGACCCACTCCAACCTTGGCTAGCTGGGAATTTAGTTAGAATACAGGAATGTACATCCGGGCTCTTCACTGTTGTTTCACATGAAACCACATTTCTTTACCATGTTGGCTAAGTCTAAGTATTAGCGAGGAGGCTGTGCCTACCTCTCGCCAGCTCTGCCAGTAGCCTGTGATGGGGTTCCAGTGGGAAAAGGTTCTTTACTCTTCTGAGACGAGAAAGCTCTGACGTTGTATTCCTCGAATGAACTGCAATGTAAATGAGCAAGGCTCCCTGTGCCTGGAGACATGGAAATGAATACTATTTTCTTAATTTAATCTGTCCTGTCCTACCTGCTGCTCTGATCGTCAGCCATCACATAACTTATTGAATGCTTGCTCTGTGCTAGGCAATGTTGAGTGCTATACCCAAATTTCATTTAATTATCCAACAATCCAATTTACTATTTTTATTCCCAACTTAGAAATGGAAGTATTCTGACCCTCACTCACAATAAAAAAAATGCAAGTGAAACCACCCTGAGACGCTCTTGTCGGTTGGCAAGCACCTGGGGAAAGAGGCACATGCATAGCTGACAGAAGTATGAAGTGATACAGCTTCTGAAAGGATATGGAAATGTCTTTCAATATTATAAAAGCACTTACTCTTTGAATCAATAATTCCACTTCTAGGAATTTAATCTTCAGCTATTTTTCTCACCAAATGTGAAATGACATGTGTTAGAGGTTATGGTATAGCATTATTTGTAATAGCAAAAGATTAGAAACAATTACTATTAATTGCTATGGAGCCCTAAAAAGAAAAAGTGGCTCTAAATGCCTTGATAGGATATCCAAAATAGATGAAGGGGAAAGGTGGGTTGTATAGCAAAGTGTAACACATGCTGCTACTTGTCTAAAGAAAGGGGAGAATTGGGTATTCGCTAACTCCATCTTACACTCCATATTTCAGAGAATGTCACCATTCCTCAATATACCCTGCTGGCACTGCACTTCCTTAAGTGCTGTTCCCATTGCCCCTCCTCCTAACTCTCACCACCCTGCTTGCCCTTCCAGAGATATTTCATGCATATACACACATTTCTATGTACTAAAAACACAAACAGCATGCTATGCATGCTGTCCTACACTTGCTTTTTTCACTTAATTATAAGTTTTCTCTCTTGGGCCGCGACCAGCACGGCTAGAGAGCGGACGAGTCCTGAGTAGGGACGGCTGGGGATTGAGAAAAGGAAAAAAAGAGACAGACACAAAGACTTTAAGTAAAGCTGGGACCAGGTGGGACGCTGCCCTCAGATGGAGACACAGTGACCCAGAGCTAGTGCAGGGCGTTTATTATATACAGCATGATACCGGGAAGTTTTACTAGAGTTTAAGACAAAGGAAATTATGTGAAATCATGGTTAAAGATCAAGCAGCAATTCTTCATTCTTGTGACTTCTTTGTAATTGTCACTCCTGGCTGAGCCCAGATAATTGCATCCGTTCCTGGTGCCTGGCTGAACTTAAATAATGAAACCCACCCCCTGGTGCCTGAGCTAAAGGTCAGGCTGACAACATACCTGCCTCTGGCAAGGTATGTTTCCAGGACGTGGCTCTGCTGACACCACGGGACTCAGATGACAATCAGCTCATGCGCCTTCCCAGGCGCTCTCTACACTTAATACATGCTTGCACATACGAGCTCTCTCATCCTGTTTTGTAAGTGTATACTATTCCATTGAATGGATAAATCATAATTTATTTCATCAGTCCCCTACTGGTGGACATTTCCATTGTTTTCTAACTTTTGCTATTAAAAACAATGCTATAATGATTATTCTTGTGCAAATGTTATTTCATATTATTTCTATGGATTATATACCTGTGGGCTAAATTCTTAGAAACAATGGTAACTTGTGGGGAGGATGACAGGGTGGATGGGTACAGTATTGGAACACTTTTTCATTGTATCCCCTTTTGTGTCTCTTGGAATTTTGTACCATATGTATTACCTATTCAAAAAAATAAAATATTTTTAAATACAGCTGCTGGCCATAGACTATTTAAATGTTTTGTCTCTTTATATATTTACCTGACTATACTTTACAAATAAAGCCAGATAATAATTATTTCAAAACTTTTTTTAAAAATTCACTTGTTTTATTTTTTGTTAATCCTCACCTGAGAATATTTTTCCATTGATTTTTTAGAGAGAGTGGAAAGGAGGGGGAGAGACACACAGAAACATCGATGTGAGAGAGACACAGATTGGTTGCCTCCCGCATGCACCCCAACCAGGGCCAGGAATCAAGCATGCAACTGAGGTGCATGCCCTTGACCAGAATCAAACCTGGGACCCTTCAGTCCGCAGGCTGACACTCTACCCACTGAGTCAAACCGGCTTGGACTCAAAATTTCTTAAAGCAAACTTCCCTTAAGCAGTCCTGTGGTATTTCCATGGAGAAATGGCAGAGAAATTTTTAAAAAGCAATCATTAATGTCTATCTTAGATACATAGAAAAGTAGTTTCCTGCTTGACACAAACATACAAAACCATGCTGCCGTGAACAGTGTTAGGCCCTGCCCGCTGCAAGCTGTGTGGCATCAGCTCAGGGCCAGAGTCTAAGGGAGAGCTATCCCATGACCATCAGTGCTGCCCACTTCTCTACACAGGATGTCCCTGCCAAATGTCAACCTTCCACTAGGATGCTTTATAGCAAAAGGCCAAAAGAATAGTACTCAGTTCTCAGAAAAAAAAAAGAGTATCTTCTACTATTTCCTCCTAATCATAGAGAAACAAAGGGTGGGTGGGAAACCTATAGTTTTCATACCACTAGTCACTATCAATCACATAACTAAAGCATCATGCCACAAGGTAAGATCTGGACGTTGGCCAAAGGCCCTCTCTTTGGAGCAACAACATAAAGCTATTCACAACATAAAGCAGATCCAGGGCTCCCCTGCCTCTGGTGCCTGTACTATTATGTTTTGCTAAGGCAAAGGGTAGGGCATGATGCCCCAGGCACTGACTAGCCTACATATACAGTTAAATAAAATCAAGTCTGCAACAAATAGGGCCTTGATAACTTCCCCTTGAAAGTAAAGGGAGGCAAACAAACAAACAAACAAAAAAAACCCCAAAACCCTCCCTTCTGATGCTAAAAGAGTATAAAGTTTTCCTAAGTGAATTTGCAGTGAGCAAAATTTGTGAAACTACCTGCTGGCTTTTATGGCCTGCCAGGAAGAGGACATCTGGTCAGAAAGTGCCTGCAAAAGATCCTAAACCTGTTCTATATTGCTTACTGTTTATTCCCAACAAGCTGCCACTGTCCCCACACCCTGTGTTCTTAAAATTTCTGTCACCCACCTCCGATGGAGACTTCTTGTTATTTGAGGTTCCCCCATAAAGCTTTCTGTGTGAAATAAGGTGATTTCTCCCAAATCCACTCTTTCTACACACAAAATTCCAGGTTTCCCACTAACAGTAGGTACTTACATATAGGCATTCTAAGAGACCTTGTTCTGCCTAATAAACCACTACAATTCAATGGTTTATTTCGCTATTAAAGCTATTATGCTTATGCTCACTATAAATTTTAAAATCACCAAATCAGTAAGTAACCCACAAAAATATTCTGGAAGAATATTTCTAACACTTAAAATATAGCAAGATCTCTTTTTTGAGGGAGGATGAAAGGACTTAGACTGAGCTGAAAATCTTATTAGGCCAGGTACTGGCAGCTATTTTCAGTGTCTTAGTAAAGTTACACACCGATGCTTCCACGGTACACTGGTTTCTGCCTCCTTCCATGAAAATCTGCTAAGAAATCTGCTCAGGTTTCTGAGTGTCCCCTTCTTTCCTCTTTGTACACATTGTCTACACATGATCAGTTTTCTCAAAGTCCTAGATTTTCCCATGTTAAATATGTAAGCATCTAAGTTTCTATCTCAGATACTTTGTCTCTAAAGTCTGTATTGCATTCTTTAATGGTAAATTCTTTTATTGAATGACCTTAATTCTAATTCAGTCTAGAAATGGTTCAATCCAGTCCAGAAATGCACGTTTTTGCTGTAACAAACTTTTACTAGTAGGCTCTGGAGGAAAAGGTGTGTTTAACCAATAATTCTTCCAGAATCAATTTGGGTGTAGTTTCCCAAGATTCGTATTTATAAATCATTCCTCATGGGGGTGGTATTTTTGTCTTTTTTTAGTTGTCAGTCCATGCAATTCTGGCTCCCCAAGCAGTCAGACACATACCACAACAATTTCTACCTCTGTAGCCTATATAAATGCTATACCCAAATAAGTACTTTAATTTTTTTTTAATCCTCACCCAAGGATATGTTTTTATTGATTTCTAGAGAGGAAGGGGGGGAGGGGGAGAGAGAGAAAGGAGAGAGAGAAGCATCGATTGGTTGCCTGATTGAACTCACATCCCAGATATATGCCCTGACCAGGAATTGAACCCATAACTTTTTGGTGTACAGGACAATGAGTCACCCAGCCAGGGCCCAAATGAGTACTTTAAAATTCATTGGAATTTGTGGCTTAAAATGCTTTTTCTTCAGTAATCCTAAAATGAAGTTGCCAGGTTTAAGAAATAAATATACAGGATGCCCTGTTAAATTTAAATTTCAGATAAACAACAAAAGAATTTTTAGTATATCTCATACAATATTTGGGACACACTTATACTAAAAATTATTTACTGTTCATCTGAAATTCAAATTCAACTGGGTATCCTGCATTTTATCTGGTAATTCAACCTAAAAGAAAATCCCCGAGTATCTATTATCTATTCCAACAAAAGGGACCAGTTTCTGCTATGTGTGAGACCAGAGGTGTTTTACGCCGTAAGGCAAGTGAAGCCACATATCCTTAAAAGATTCAGTCACTAAATGATCACAGAATCTTGAAATGTCTGTAGGAATGTGGAGGCTATTTTTCAAGTGATTAAGGCATCAGTGGGAGTTAGGTCTGTTTTCTGAGTGATGGGCTTTTTGGTTTTGTGAATCTAAATTCTGAGTATGTAAGAGGGATAGAGGGGATAAATGGTGATGGAAAAAATAAAATAAAAATTTAAAAATAAATAAAATAAAAAAAGAATTCTGAGTGTGATAAGAAAATCTATCTGCCCTAGCACATGGGAAGCGGAGCATGAGCTGCACAGAAAATAAGGGTAAGTCCAGGAGCACATTCAGGGAGGGTGAGATGCCTTTCCCATCGTCTCTGGCCTCCTAATGAGTGTTCACGCTATTTAATCTGTGACTCTGATTCAAAAGACAAGTAAACGGGGCTTGCTTTAAAATGAAGCTTTTATACAGAGTTATACATCTATGTACAAGCAGCTCTGAAGGCCAGAGAAGCAACTCACATTTTGGAACCTTGGAGGCTCTCCAGATTACACTGGGTTTCAAACTAGTTATTAAACAAACCTTAGGGAACAGCACCTAGAGCCTTGGCCTTAGAAGGGTGCAGGAGAAAGTAAGTCAAGAGTCAAGATTGCTTCACATTCTGGAAAACATAGTGGCAACACACAACACTCCTGGATTGCGGGAAATCAAACGTGGGAGGGACATGATTGGAAGGAAACCCCTAACGTTCCACTAATTCCAGGTGCCTCGAAGGGGTACCCGTGGCAGCCATCTCTGGGTCACCTGCCATCTCATCAAAGCTTGACAGAGAAGGAAGAGCCACAGGAGCAGCCTTTCTCCGCCTGCGGGTTGTTCAGCACTTGGAAGGAGCTTCGGATCAGCTCCTGGCAGAAGTCCACCTGGGCGCCTTTCACGAAGGCCAAGCTATCAGAGTCAACCACCACTCGGGCCCCGCCCTGTTCAAATACCCTGGGGAGAGAAAAACAAAAACACAAAAAGCAAACCACACACAGGAGGACAGCATCAGTGACGATCATAAACACCAACAACCCGACACTCTGGGCCCTGGCGTGAGAGGTGCGCACTCCGGGTTTTCGGAAACAGAGGAAGCATTCCTTACTGCCTCCAAAAAGGTGCCGATTGTGGAGGCAGAAAGAGCCAATGGAATGACTCCTGGGAAACGTTTGGAAATTCAGACCTGGCATCTCATCCGGCCTAACTCCTATCAACGACCCCGCGGGCCCAGGAAGGCCCATCTCCCTCCTATAACTTGGTTCTTTGGAATCAAGACAACCCGTCTTCACGTGCATCCCCCCTGTGCGCGGGAAGGGTGGTGTGGAGCATCCTGAGCAACCCGTTTAAATCTGGAATAAAAGTGCGCCTTCAACTACACACACGCTCCCCCTCCCGCACACTCCGAGGACCCGCCAGCCCTTCCCTTCCTCCTTGCCTGTCGTCGGGGTGGATCACTGTGTCCAGCGAAAATCGGTACTGGAATCCGGAGCATCCACCCCCCTCCACCTCCAGCCTGAGGAATTCTGCCCCTTGGGTGATCTCCAGGAGCCTCTGAAACGCAGGAAGAGGGGGTCAGGCCCGCCCGGCCGGGGCGGCAGAAGGGTGGGCCCCGGGGAGGCCCCGGTCCGGGCCGCCGCCCCTCTCACCTGGACGCAGCTGTTGGTGAGGTGAACCTGGCCTTCGTCAGCCTCGGGGCTGGAGGATGACGCCTCCCGAAGCGCCGGAGGTCGGGCGGACGCCGCGAGGAGCCTGCCACACGCAAAGGGAGGACGGTGAGCCCGCGAGCAGAGGGACACCTGGCGACCCCCACCTGGACGGCCTCCCGCCACACCCGGCGACCCCCACTGACTATCCTCACGACAGACCTGGCGACCTCCAACGGGACAGCCTCGCGCCACACCCTCACCTCCCCCGAGGACCTTCGTTTCCGCTTAGTCCTGGAAGTCACAAAGCCTAAACACACTTCCCAGGGGTCCTTCTAGGCTGGGTACCTGCTCCTCCGCCAGGGGGTGACCGCTCTCAGGGCCGCCGCCGTTAGGGACAAGCCCCTGGCGGCCGCCATCTTCCTCAGCAAACCCCGCCCCGCGCGTCGCCCCAATCCCCTTCTCCGCCAGAGCCCCGGAGGCGGGGCCCCCAGAGACCCCGCCTCCGAGCACGCCTATTGGGCGGTGCGAGAAGCGGGGGTATCTTATTGGCTAGGAATGCTCCCATTGCGAAAGCGAGAATGCACCCACCAAGCCGAGAACTGCAGAGAGAGGGGGGGGAGATGAATCCAAGTCCCGCTGGGGGGCCAGGGGAAAGGTGTGGGGCGGAAGACCGAAAAGGGGCCTGGTCCCAGCAGGCCGGGGGGCCCAGCAGCCGGGGGCGGGGCGTGGGCGGGCCGAGGCCTTGTTTGCGGGCGCCGGGTCGCCGGGTCGCCGGATAGAGCTCCTCCCCGACCCCGCCCCGGCAGGTTTATCTTGTGACTCCGGCGGCCGCTTCTTCCTTCCTTGCGCTTGGAAGTTCCTCAGCAGCTATGTGTTGCTTGGCCGCCGCGCTCCTGCTCCTGGCGCTCAGCACCTCCGCCCTGGCCGAGCCGGTGCACTTCAAGGATTGCGGTGAGTCCCGGGCCCGCCGGAGGTTCCGCGCTCTCGGCGGGAGCCTCCGCCGGCACCTCGCGCTGAGACCCGAGCTCGGTGGGGCGGGTCCCCGTCGGCGGCCAGGCTCAGCCTCGGACCCCTCTTGGAGTGGGGTCGGTTCGGGCAGGGGAGAAGGTGCCGTCCTCGAGGAAACTCGCCCACCCACAGCTTTGTCTCTGCCCCTGGAACGCGCGTGTGGGGTCCCGGGACGTCCCTGGCGATGGGTGGACCTTCTGCCGAAGTTTCCTAAAGTTTGCAGGGCAGACAACTAAAGGTCCATAGACAGCGCGGGGGCGAGGGAAGGGGCTCACAACTTGTATTTTTGCCTTGTATCTTGGATGACCTCTCCCTCCCCACTGTGTTTGCTTTTCCTTTTTAACTTAGCTTTTGCTGACAAGTCGAAAGTCAGTTGTTCTTTTCGTGATTAACTCCGTTAGCGTTTTTTTGGGGGGGCTATGGAATGTTGTCATTTCCTCCTATCTATAGAACTCGTGTTTCTGTCGCAGCGTGTGACACATACCCCCCCCCCCTTGCCGCTGTGGTTGGAGTCTCGTTGGGAAATAAAAGGAGGGGGAGGGTTGTAGAAATTGTGAGTTCGTTCAGTCAGGTCTATAGAATTGATTGCTCCTGCTGAAGTTTCCGGAAGTGAAGCGGTATAATGATAAGTGAAAGGCATGAAACTGATTTTATAAAATTCGTGAGCTGGAAGGAAACTTGGAGATCCTATAGTCAGTCATTGAATTCCAGAGATGGGAGGTAACTTAACCAAAGTAACAGAGCAGAATGGGAACCAGTGTAAGTTTGCTCATTTATATCCAGTTCCCAAGTAATAGTAAATGCTATTTACTAAGTAATAACAGGCCAACAGTCTTTATTCCCTTAATCAAGCTGTCCCCTAGCTCCCAACTTTGCTTTTGCTTCAACATGAATTTTGATGACATAGTGGAAAAAGTATCCCCTCATTTACTTTTTCAACAAAGCAAAGTTGGGGGCTAGGGGACAGACTGATGAAGGAATAAAGACTGTTGGCCTGTTATTACTTAACAAATGCTGTTCCTTTCTCTCTATTAAATTTAGGGGCCAACATTTGGATGAAGACACTGTCTTAACTCGTTCAACCCTCATAATCTGTTTTCTAGATGAGGAAACAGGCACATAGAGTACCTTGCCCAAGTTCTCGCAACTACTAAGCAATAAGAAACTAGTGTGTGTTTTTGAGCCACTTTGGGTTTCAGTGGTAACCTTGAAAAAAAAATTAAATCCAAACATTGTTCTACTCCTTTGAAAAAAGCAAGTGTATACCTCCGGCAAGAACTTCTTAAGGGAAGGAGGGTTTCCGCTACAGATTTTCTATTTACTTTTGAATTGGGAAATACAATGTAAAAACTTTAGTGCCCACATCAAACGTTTTTGAGTTCCACTGTGTGGAGTGGCATCTCCTCAAGTGAGAAATAGGGCCAAGCAAACTAGTTTTGCAATTTTTGCAGGTTGGGACTGAGGAGTTTGTTCTGTTGACATTGGGAGTGCAAGAACCTCTTCTCAGCTGAAAAACTGGATGAAGGAGCTACAAGTACCATCCTTTACTCAGGTCCTTGTAGATCATGTGACCCAGCCTTGAAAGAAGCAGGCAGAAAAGCTAGATTCAGAAAGCTTTGGTATAAGCACTGATTTTCAATAGGTTGTTGATTAAAGTTCTGGGTCCCCCTTCTTCCCCCCGCCCCTTCATCCATGGAGGTTATGACAGAGTGGAACAGAGTGCTTAGAGAAGAGAATTCTTGAGTGTAGAGTTTGAGAACTTTGCCATGGTGGAGAAACAAGCTGGGGATACGGTACTTACAGACTAGCTGGAGCAGTGTTGGTCAGTATGGTGACTGTTACGCCCAAGAGCAGAGGCCGTCCACCTGAGCTTCTCACTTCATATCCTACAGGACGGTGACGACAAAGCAAATAACGTGCTCTCAGCCTTCAGTTTGCCTTCTGTCTTCATGCATTCTACTTTAGAGACAGTCTGTTCTATCACCTGGATCCCTAATTTCTACCCACAAAGTATATTTGAGATGAGAGGCCCACCTTGTGTGGCAAAAGGGAACATGCTAATCCACCCGGGAGCAGCTACAAGTGTAAACCTACTTTTGTCCCCCCTTCCCCCGTATATACCATGTTTTTTCCTATACATACATACCTTTTCACATAAAGGAAGCACTATACAGCTTCTCTTTGGCATATATGAATTGCCAGCATCACTACTGTTGTTCTTTGGGGGCCATCCCATTATAAGGTAAAGTGAGGGTGACTTGAACACAAGCATTTTAATACGGGGACAGTCAGATGCTAAGTGTCTTGCTGAGCAAAGGGGTGAGTCATGTCCTGGGTGAGACATGCTATTCTCAATTTAAAACTTATGGATTGTTTACTTCTGGAATTTTCCGTTTAATCTTTTTGGACCACAGTTAACCATGAGTAACTAGCCAAAACCGCAGAAAGAGAAACCGTGGATAAAGGGAACATACTGCATAGCATGACTATGTTCCAAACACTTATCTCAGAGCTACATGTGTGTCAGCTCACCTGCTCTATGAGGTAGGTACCGATACTATCCCCAGAGAGGTTAAGTATCTTGCCTTGAGGTTACACAGTAAGTAATGGAGCCATTATTGAGATTAATAAGATTTCAAACCCAGGCATCAGGTCTCAGAGTCTACCTCTCAACAGTGGTGGCTGAATTGCAGAGCTTACCCTTACCCTGTTACAGGCAGTGTTAACAGGCAGTTCTCTTGCATTCTCTCTCACTTAGCCATCCAGTGTTGGGGCCTGAATGAGATGACAGGGATTTTTAATGATTTATGCCTTACCTTTTCTGATCAAGCATTTATTGTGAACAAATAGCACTTTTGTCCTTTTTTAGACTGAATTTTTTTTTAAAGGACACATACCTTGCCCCAAAAATACTTATTTTGAAGAACACAGGTTTCCAAAGTGGAGTGTACACATCTGTGTATTGCAGATGAATGCTTAAAGTTGTTCTTATTGGTGGGCGTATACAAAGCTTGGAGACCACTAATTTGGAGAGATACCAGTACTGGATTGAAAGATGGTGAGGGAGGGCAGTTTGGGAGCAGCCAGTGTCAAGATTCCAATGGAAGCAGTAGTGCTGGGACTTGAGCCATCACTTGTACGATATGTGTGCTGCTTTAAAATCCTGGGGGAGGGGGGGTGTTCGGGGGGAGGATTTTTCATGGTATAGACCTCCCAGGTTGCAGAGCAGTGGAGTGGCTATATATACTTAATAATTTCCTTAATTCCCCTTCACGCATCAAATATGAGCAGTTCCCTGGAGATCGCTGATGGTCAAAGGAGAAAGAGCTCACCCTAACTGGGAGAATAGAGCATCTTCACATTAGGTAGGGACAGCCTATGTGATTTATTTTTTCTCCTATTTCAACTCATTTTTCTTCTTTTGCAGGTTCCGGGGTTGGAGTTATAAAGGAAGTGAATGTGATCCCATGCCCCATTCAGCCCTGCCATCTGCAGAAAGGGCAGTCTTATGCTGTCAATGTCACCTTCACCAGTAGTGAGTAAAAGTGGCTCTTACCTTCAGCTTCATCTTAAACATAACATCAGTCTCAAGTATTGGGATGAGCATGGGAATGTGGGGGAGGGGAATTGCAGTAAGAATTCGTGATGCTGGGGCTGACCGGCAGACCCTGAACGACGGGTGAATGATTACTCTAACACAGGTTTCTGTGATAGAGAGGCTAAGGCACTACCTGGCTATCACCGCCAAGTAGCCCTGTTCGCCTGCCTCCTTTGGCTTTTATTGTAACACAGCTTGAACTAAAATTAACCTCTGGATACAATCAGCAGAATAAGTATCCTTGAGAAAGTATATGCTTCTACAAGGTCGAGTCTTTAAAGACTAAACATAGAGATTCTAGCAAAATACCCTGGGGGATCGGACTTGTTTGGAAAAGTCAAGGTAGGAGCTGCCGCCTTCAGCAAGGTCCCCTCAGAGGCTCTCGACCTTTTAGAGAATCCTCCTTACAGACATTCCAATTGCGTTCCGTGCTTCCCCACGCTGTGACCTCCCTTCCAGCCTGTGTATAGCTAGGATTGGCTATATCCTTGGACATCCTTCTCATATGGGGTTCCCATATTGCCTGTTTCACAAAGTCCAGACTCCCTCAAAGCAAAGAGAGATTTCCATGTGTTCACAGGTGAGAGAAGACAGCTTGGCTCTCTGTGTCCTATTTCGGACCATATCGCACAGTAGGCTTTTATGGGAATGTCAGCTGTTTAGCTACAGACTTCAGACTATTAGTACAGACCCCAATTCTGTAGACTTTGGAACTCCTCTAAATGTTATTTTAAGCAATATGCCTTCTAGCTATTAAGTCTGTTCTGCCTCAAAACACAAGAGTAATTAATACTTAGGTTTAGGGAACTCACTGGGGACCCAAGAAGCAATCAAGAAATCTGAGAAATTGCTTCAACTTGAAGAAACATTGGGACCTGTTGCTTTCTACCACATTCATCACCTTCGGATTTTCAGGAATCTAGATAACTACATAATCTTTATTTCTACGAAGGTATCTACCATGAATCCTTCTTTTATTTTCTATCCTTTGGAACTAGATTAGACAGTCTAATAAGAAATATCAAAACACACTTTCCCATTGCACTGAAGACTGGAGAATGGGTCTTCCTGGCTGAGCTGAAAGAGCAGACTGGCAGGAAGCAAAGCAGATCATGGAGGTGCAGAGCAGAGCTGTCTAGTCAGAGAGGGCCTGGCCCCAGTGCTGCCTCACAGCCATGCTGTATCACAGTTAAGCTGTTTTTCACTGAATAAAGTTTCCTTCTTCACTGCACATATCCCCCACTCCTGTCATCTCTTATTCTTAAGCCTAAAGACATCTCTAAGTACTAGAATTATTTTCTTTCCTGGCCTCTCTATTGTTCCAATAAAAAAAAAAAAAGTGACTTCTAAACAAAAGTAATCACCAACCCAGACAGAAAGAAAGAAACAGCCCATCGCTTCTCTGCTTTTGGGCTAAGATTAAAGTGTAGTACCTGTTCTTACCAGTTTAATATCTGATACATCCTCTCTGTACCTCTGGAAACGGTACACACACACACAAAAAGCAGAGCCAATAGTCCGGATCTCCAGAATGACCTAACAGCTTATAATTCTGGTTGCCCTCATTTTATTATATTTATTTCTCCTGCCCATCTTTTCATCTGGAGGGCAGAGCTTAGCCAGAAATCTTATCCAGTTTCTAAAGGGTTACCTCTTTTTCTACTGCTACAGTCCATGGTATGTATATAGATTCTGTATTCCTTCTTTCTACATTGCCTTCTATTTTATTCTTAATTTCTAATGGAATCCTTTGTGTGGGAGTATTTGAGAATTCAGAGACCAGCCTCCTAAAACTCTTTAAGATACATAATCCACTTTGACAGAAGCTGATGGAAATAGTAAATAGAAAGTTAACAGCCAAAAATCAGTTACTTTATTGAATGAGATTATTTATCCAAGTAGCTCTGATTCTCTTGAGAAACTGTGAAAGGCAGTGAGGGGCAAGGTGGGGTTAAGAGCAAAGAAAACAGTTCTTTGTGTGTGTTTTTTGCACTGATACCCTTTTTTTTTTTGCATAATTCAGTAATTTTTCAAGTTTTGCAGTAAATGCTTGCTCTGCATTCACAGAGGTATAAAGCATAACTACAAAGAGAAACAGACCCTAGGAATTAAGAGCTACAAACGTTATGATTTGCTATCATAGCAATGTGGTTGCTTGAGAATATATCTGAATTTTTACTTAGAGTTTGGAAATAGCCTGTTTCCATCACTATTCTCTTTTTTTTTCTCTTAGGTACTCAATCTCAAGGGAGCAAAGCCGTGGTGCATGGCATCGTGATGGGCGTCCCAATTGCCTTTGCCATTCCTGAACCTGATGGTTGTAAGAGTGGAGTCACCTGCCCCATCGAAAAAAACAAGACTTACAACTACATGGCTAAACTGCCAGTGAAGAGTGCGTACCCCTCGGTAAGTGACCTTGTTGTTGAGGACACTGGAGATCTTGTGACTAGATTAGATATCTGAGGAGGGGGGCAGGAAGAAAAAAGTGAAGTTGTATCCTTCTACTCTGTGAAGGAAAGGTGCCTGAGGGAAGGAAATAAGTTAGAGTGTTAGGAATCACGAGGTACACAGATATTTTTTTAGAGTTCTTTTGTTCTTTGTCTATAGCCTGATGGATAGCCATTTTTATATACAACTAGAGCCCCAGTGCACGAAATTCGTGCACGGGGCAGGGGTGGGGTGGGGCGGGATCCCCTCAACCCAGCCTGCACCCTCTCCAATCCGGGACATCCCTCTCACATCCAGGACTGCTGGCTCCTA